CTCTCTCTCTCTCTCTCTCTCTCTCCTTCTCTCTGTTTCTTCCGCGTCATTCTGTTCCGCTGTTCCATTCAGCATTCCGATCGTCGTGCTCTTCTCCGAGGTTTCCGAAGTACGCAGAAGTAATAACTTGAACACGTGAAGTTACTCCCTTCTGGAGCGCACAATGTATTTATCTACACAAGTCGGCATACAGCCTTAACATGCAATACAATGAAGCTACTAGGATTTTCCGATCGTAAACATTTATTGATTTATTATTTATTGATTATTCAAAGAAGCGGAAGTAATGTGCATTTGTCACTACGAAGGGGTTTTACGTTAATGTCCAGAAATAAATAATGTCCAGAGGAAATGTTGGTAACCTGATCATACCGCGCGTTAAGCTGTTATGTCGATCCATATACTTTTTATAAGAAGGTCTAAAATGATATAGCTTCTTCCTATATTAAGGCTTCATATTTTAAGACTTGTCAGCTGCGGTAACACCGACGTTAGCTGTCCCTATTTTAGCTCCCATAGCTAATTCTTTCTTTCAGCGTATCTTTGGTGAATTTCAGTTTCACAAAGTCAGTAAAGTTTATAGATAATCGGCGGTAATTAACGCGGTGATCAGCAATGTGTTAACCATCACGACTTTTCGAACGTAAAGTAAGCTTACTACCGATAATCCTTTCGAGAATTCCTTCTCTTTCTCGCGGAGCGCGTATTACTTTGCTCTTGGAATATCCGTTCGTTAACGGGTAACGACATAAACGTTTGAAAAAGCAGCGACGGAAGGCCAAGTTCGGCTGTCGACGAATTCACTCGGCGATGACTACGCTAAACTGGCTGAATCGTGCGCGAAAGCGAATAGAAGCCGACATTTATATACGAAAAGCGCGCGAGTGCGAGGGTACATTCGAAAGTACGCGGAGGGATCCGGGCTTCGAGGGTGGGTAGGCGATCGAGCTCTCGAGTACTTGAGCACGAGCTGAGAAGAAATGCGGGGAGAACAATGGACAGAGGTAACCAGGAGCCGGTGCTGCGTCATCGCAGTGTGTCTGAGCTCGTCCCCGGCTCGTCGCGGTAACGAGATGCGCGTCGAGCGCTCACGGAGGACGAGGACGTGGAGGAAGAGAAGAAGGAGGAAGAAGAGAAGGGTGAGGGAAGCTCTCGCTCACCTTTCCGTGACCCGTCGTAAAAACCGACCACCCACCCACCGGCTTCCTCCACCGGGACGACGCTCGCTTTACTCAACGAATCATGCTGGCGGCCGTGCTAACGTCGCCGACGATATCAAATATCGAATCGGCCGTGCGACAATCCTCCTCTGCTCCTGTGTGAACGCTATTTTCTTTTATTTCGCCAAATACATGTCATTCTATGCGTGAACTGAGGAAAATCGCCCGACGACCGCGGAGAAAGTGCCGGGAGAAAGGAATTATCGTTATCGTTCTCTTCGAATTACAGTATCTCGATAAATAATGAAATGCGCGAAAAATCTACTGGCTTTGGGATCGTTCTAACTCACAGATTAGATATCGATGTTCGATAGCGTGACGGAACAGATTTTGATGTCAGTGTCGTTTAACGGGCATCCATAAAGTCAAATGAGAGCGGTCCAAGAAGAATAAAAAGAAATACGAGTTTGATAATAGCTACTAATTCTGAATTCGTACGTTCAGTTGAAGCGTGAGTGTTTTGATCGAGTATCGTCAGTCCGCGAATTTAATACGTCGCGTTTTACAATATTTGCTGAATTTATGAAATTTACTGGAGTTTATGGTTAACCGGAATGAAGAGCATGATGGTGCGCAAAATTGCAGATAATGTGAAACTGCTCTGTACTTTGTCGTTTTGGGAATCATAAAGCAAATCATACACGAACATTGTTAATGTCATGCAACTCGTGTCTGACCGTTGTGATATGCCTCCGAGAACTTTTGATTAGCGACTCGCTGCCAGTCCCTAATTGTACATTCAATATCAATCTAGAGATCGACTTTGGTTACGGATAATAATAAAAACACATGAGGAGAACTTCAACAACGCTCGCCTCGTCTTATCCCCAATTCATTCCCTTCCATTCCCGATTCTTATCCACCGCTATTCCTTACTTCATATCTCTCGTAAGAGTTTCTCGAAGAGGAAGGAGCGAAGAGATTCGGGTTGCGTCTCGAGGACCCCACCAGGAAGCAACGCTAGTCGCGGGCCTCGACAGAGCATGCCGCTGTTGAGAAAAATTCATCGGCAGCTGCTTGATCTTTCCGCGTGGTCTCGCGCGTCTTAACGGACAGCGATTCTCGAGCGATGCCCGCTTATTAAACGACAGCGGCGTTCCCGACAGAAGGAAGGGAGAGAGAAAGAGGGAAGGATAGAAGGAGAAAGAGAGAGAGAGAGAGAGAGAAAGGGGAAACGAGAAACGGAAAGGTAGAGGAAAGCCAGGCGGCGCACACTTGGCTACTTGGCATTTACATCCATTTCGCACAACGGCACTTCAGTCCCTATTCTTCGGCTTTAGGTGCCTGCATCCGTGTACGAGTACGCGCGCCGCGTTTTTACGTTAGTTGGCAAAGCGTAGGTACGCTAGCGCGCGCGCGCGCGCGCTTCGTGCGCATTCCGTGAGCGCGTATGAAATGAGACGGGAATGCGGGAAGAAGGGGGAGGAAAAGAGAAGATGGGGGAGAGAGACCGAGAGGACCGGTAAGAGGGCGGAGGGAGGGAGCGAGCGAGCGGGAAGTGAACGAGAGAGAGAAAGAGGGGGAGAGAGAGAGAGAGAGAGAGAGAGAGTGTGAGACAAAAGGTAGAAGAGAGCTTCAATGTGCCGTCGTGCGCGATCGTGCGAGGTGAGGGCGCACCTGGACCTTCTTTTCCATGTGCACATAAGGGCTCTCACTGCCTTCTACTCCGTGATTCAACCACCAAACAGACCGCCTCCAGTTACGTATACCGAAGTTCCTTCCTTCTCTTTCTCTCTCTCTCTCTCACTCTTTCTCTCTTCATCGTGCGCTTATTACGCGCATCATCGAAATTCGCGTACACCGACGAGAAAGATATTCTATCGCGGGCATGTATTTTTTTTATTTTTCCGCAACCCAACGTGCGCATGTGCGAGCGCTCGTGTTAATCTTTCCAATAACGCGAGATAAATGGAACCGATCTCCGTCGATACATAGGGAGGAGAGAAAGAGATCTCCTTGTCCGCACGGCTGGATATTTTTCTCGATGTCACGATTAATAGCGAATTACGGCAGGCGCGCCCTCCCCTTTCGACGGTCATCTCGAAATCAGATCCGCCGTCGCGGCGACCACGAGAGCGAACGCGCATTGCTCGCGAGCGACGACTTACACTCGATGAGGAGCCGTAAGGGCGGCATTGTGTCCCGTTTCGGAGAGACAGCCCGGGCACAATGGTGAGAGAGACCGAGGAGAGCGGCGTACCCGATAAGCAACCGCAACTACCGAGCGTGGGGTAGATCTCGGCGCGGATAGAGCCTTATTTCATCAAAGGGACAATAACGAAGCCACGATAACGTGGAGAGAAATGCTTCCGGCGTGCGTGACGCTCGATGACCCCCCCCCCCCTCTCCAAAACTATCGTATGCCAAGCCGCGAAAATATATTAAGTGTGGTCCTTCGAGGATTTTCCTTTCTATTGCGTTCCGCGTATTAACAGAGATGTAAATTTGGGTTCAGTGTAATAATGAGACAAACAGAAGTAAAAAGTAGCAAATTCAAGACTCGGGTGTAGCCCAAGCAGCATTTGACGCAAAAATATATTTGCAAGGTTCACGCTGGATTCCAAGAATGGCATTCATAGCCGTAAATTAGTTGTGATCTTTGAGAGCATATTAATTGCAGATTCGTATTCATGGGTTGTTATTAGACTGAATCAATATTTCCTGTTGTATAAATTAAGTGGAAGTACAGATTGACGAATAATCAGAGAGTCATGAGAATATAATCGTTAAGCTAATAATGCGTCAATGCCAGGCTAAATATCGACTCAAGTATCTTATCGGCGAATTCGCCAAATGCGTCGATAACCGAAAACCTCCTGCGTAATAAATGATTTCACATACCTGAATATATATGATATACCGCTGTTCGTTCCGGCGTCTAAGATTCTGACTCCCGGCTGCTCTATTGTGGCACTGATACTCGTGGGAGTGCGATTTAATGGACGAAACGCGCGTAAAATAACAAACGACACCGACGATAGCCCGGTTAAATATTCCACGAGTCGACGAAATATTTTAACTGTCAGATAAAAACGATAACTAACGCATAACCGATATGCGCGATACACGTGTCGCACACGTGCACACGTCTCGTAACGTAATGGAAATTTTCGGAAAAGTGCACGAGATTAAGTTTAACCGTCTTGAAGGTCAGGAATGTTTTAATTGCGTTGCGATCGCTTAGCCTCTCAATGATGGAGGGGGGAAGGGGGCTCCGGTTGACGATAGTTGCGGTATGACTTTTCTGCCTATTTTGTTTGGATACAAGTCGCGTATTTTTCCATAAGCGAATTTTACATTGCATTTTCGAGCCGGCGCATGCTCCCGTGTCGCACGTGTATCGATGTCCGCTTACAATTCTCGTCGATCGATCGAAATATGTATATTTCGTCGGCTTTCTGAAATATTCGATCGAGCTCCCGTCGACGTCGCATTAATTAACGCACGTTTCTTCACGTAATCGTGTTTAGTGACAATACCAGGTCGGAAAAATAGGAGCTGGGATTTTCGATCGGGAAGCCAAGACAAAGGGATGCAGGACGCCAAGGTGCGATGCACCATATATTCCAGGTGAGTGAAATAATTGGATAAACTTACGGAAGTGAGGAGATATTCGAGTCGAAATTTAACGGCAGCAATTGTTTTAATATCATTGTGAGACAATGGCCTTTATAATGTTATATGCTCGACATTTTCAATTGATTGTTCATATTCTATGGAATGTGCAGGATTGAAATAGCGGTGAAATTTCGACTCGGGTAATGACTGAAAGCCGCAGCATTTATCGGACAGTTTCATTACAGAAATATCGTGTATTTCAATATAGAGTGAGAAATATGACAAATACCGTTCAATAATTCGATCACAACCAAAATCGTGCTTACTTATCAGGCGCACTTACACGTGTTAGCCGGGGTAGCCGCGAATTCGCGAGATAAGCAATACAAATCGTAATATTTACGAAAGATATCGCTTGCTAGAGCGTGATTTTGCGGCTGGGAAAGTAAGTACGTTTTTGGTCACACAATAATGACGTTTTAATATTGCGCTTAAGCCTAGACTGATATAGCGAAGAGTAAAATTTACTCGCTCGGACACGATCTTTGTATAAGTTTTGCGGATTTATTTTCAAACAGGGATCCACGAATCGCCTTGCGATCTCTTTTCCTTCTACAAGTTGATAAGTGCGGTTCTACGATATACGAGCAAGTTTCACTCGCCGCTACTGATATAACCGACAATAACTATGCTGTTTACCATATACATACCTACAGACTGTGTTTGTCCAGTCAAAAATTAATGCGACGACACTTATACCTTGTATAATTCAGTCAATATGTACAATTCATTGACCGTAATTATTATGCTGAAAAAAAAATCGAGTAAAAGGAGCTACGTCTCAGGGTTGCGCGAATTCTGTTACGCAAGTGATCGTTTGCGTAACACAAGCATTTGGGTTGCACAAGCAATAGTTGCGATCGAGGAAAAGTGGATAAAAATCGCAGATCTCAATGATCTAATGCAGAAATCTCAACTGCAAAATTTTATCAGCAGTAAACGATTAACAAAACTGAAACGCAGTTAGTATATGACGTAAATATATTTACATGATATATAAATATACCTTCAATAACCAAAAAAATGTATCTAACTGCATGATAACAAATGATTCTACTCTTGATAAAAGGCAAATAAATTGGATAATAAATGAGACCATTTCAGTCAATTAAATTTTAAAGTTTACACAAACAAGAAGTCAAAGGAACACGAAAATGTTGCTGAAAAGATTAGAGTAATTATTTCATCGTGTGCAACCCTGTAAACAAGTCCCGTTTAATTCGACTCGAGTTGTTTCAATGGATTTGTTTTTTTTATTGTGTACACATTTAATTCTACTCGTGTCAATAGTAATCGGAAAACATAAAAGACACGAGAATAAAATCGACGACAATGACAAGTTATTATAGGCGTTAAATCAGATCGACACCTGATCGAAAGCGCGAAGCGCCTGTGAAGGTATTTCAATTTGAAGGAAAATTACGACCTCGGTTATATCTTTATAAAAAGATACATACACCATTGTGGTCATATTATGCGCATCTGTGTTGAAAGAATGTACAACTAGATTATCATTACCACACGATTAGAGCGGTTTCTCGCGTAATTAAGATATATGCATGCATTATAATTAGTCCTCTTCGATAAGGTAATAAAGAAAAATGCGATCGTTAGCGACCCGGCCGCGCATCGAATTTACATCAGAGAAAATATAATGGCATTCTCAGGATCAAGTCAGGATTCAAGTATCGGGATGAAGCAAATTTGTCGCATAAATTGCGATTGAAGCAAATTAAGTGAAAATTGAATCAGATCGATAATCTGATGTAGGAATTTCAATTGGAAAATCTCGTCAAGAATAAGCGCTCAACTGAAACGTAGTTGAAACGTAGTTCTGATGTTAAATTGTGATGCTAAATTATGATGATAATTGTTTTTCATCGGGAGAATACAATTCTGTTGCAAAAATTAGAGCAGCTCGTCATATACAATTCTGAAATTTAGTTTGTTCCACTCTATTCGAGTTGTTTCGACTGATCTTTTATTTTATTATACCTCTGATGCGACACGATACGCGTGCGTTTATAAGAAAGCCAATTTACATGACGTCACATGATACGAAACGAAACCTTTTGTCCCACGAAATGCAAATACGAGCAGTACAGATTTTGTTGAAGACAAGACGACATTTGTCAGGTCTGAATTTTGCCATGCGGCTCCACAAAATGACCGAGTTTCCTCGTAACTTCCCAAATTTCGGTTCGACGTTGACCTACGCCTACACATTCCCACCAAACTTTAAGGATCAACAGAGAATCTCGAGATTTTACATTGTATAGGTTATGGCGCCATGATGTTAAGTATTCACCTACAATCGTTTTCTTCATGTCGAGACTTAACGAGAGAGATTTCGAAATGATCTAATATTTGATCATCTCAATATTCGTTAACATCGGAAACCCATATGACAAATGATTTCACATACACACCTTGAGATACATAATGTATGTTAGTCGTGTCTCGAAGCTCCCTGTCTTGGCTTCCCAATTCAGTATCTTCGCTCCCGGTTGCTCCGTTATGACACTTCGAATGAAACTCTCTCATACCACTAATATTACACCGACACTACCACCGATATACGCGTAGATACGATTCAACTCAGGGAAACGCACGTTAATTAACGTCTTGAGATACACAATCAGCCGCCTGATCACTTCGTGCGGGACGCGCGCCAAATTCCCGGCGCAACGATAGTACAAGCTGCGTTCGGTTTCGGAGATATCGGTTTGCTCTTAAAATGATCTTAAGATAATCTTTCGAATATCTACCTGATGAAACGACTTTCCTGGAGCAACCGGAGCAAACCGATGTCTCCGAACGCATTTACGGTCGTTGCACTGAGTTCTGTTCTTTTCAGCTGCATCTTGTTGCTTTTTGCAATACTTGAAATGAAACAGGTATACATGACGTACATAAAATCAAATATGTACACTTTATTCGCTAATTAGACGTATATTCACACGCTAAATAGACGTATATTCACAATTTGATAAAAAAAAGGGGGAGAAAAAGACCAAGATTGCAAGAGAGTGGAGAAGGAGCAGCTGAAAGGTACAGATCGTAGTACCGCAATTCGTCACGCTCGGTGAGGACGCGATGTACTTTATAACGTACGAAATATTTAATTCGCCCGACGGTAATTTTAACTAATAGCGAATTCGATCATCCGCACTACACCGTATTAATGCATACCAAAGACTGCCACATATAAAATATCCCAATACAATGGCACCAACATAAGCACTTTAACAATGAAGATAATTAACGTATATTCTGCTAAATATAACGCGACAATATCACTATCAAGTGTTCAATGAGCCCCGCGCCAATTTCACGTGATTTTCCATTCACGCCGCGTAGGTCACCGATAATCCACAATTACCGCAATTTATTATATATTTTTATTATCTTTATAGAATATATCTTATAATATTTATAAGACTACAAAAATTATTATTATGAACGGAAGAGATAAAAACGTGAAGTATGCATTATGCAGTCTGAACGGAAACATATCTAACATGACCCCACACGGCACTCAACATGTTAATCGTCGAAAAATGCTGTTTTTTTTAATATTTATTTAAATAACTGCTTCATGTGAAGCAACCTTTAGTACGCACCAATCCGATGTAACGCGGGTGATCGAATTCGCTATAACGCACCGATAAGTGCATGTTGCATTTTTTGCCAACACGATCACGGAACGATACGCGACGGGAGCAAGCGAGCAATCAGCAAGAATTGTAAAATCACGCGTGTTGAACGTCGACCGTCGATCTCTGACGATGAACGGCGATTACATTTGGCGGCCGAAAGATGACAACACAATCGATACTACTTTGGAAACATCGCGTACTATCGGCGGACGAGTGATAAACATACGACGCGAAGCGACGTAAATGTATCGTTATTGTTTGTTGATTAGAATTTCCGTCTGCTAATTAACACGAAGCATTCCGCCGGTTCTCGAAATATTTAATCGGGCTCTTGTCGGTGTCGCGCTAATTAACCTAATCTGACTTCCGATCGAATCGTATGTCAGTGCAAGTGAATATCTGAAGTGCCATGACGGAGACAACCGGGTGCCAGAATGCTGGATCGAAAAGGTAGAACGGAGAATGAAGAGACGTGAACAGCGATACATCATGTATTTTTTCAGGTACGTCAGATATTCAGGTGTCCGATTTCAGCGGACGTTTGACGTATTTGAAAATAGAGAGATACTTGGGCCGAAATTTAAGTAGACATTCATGGATTGTCATCATTTGATAAGTGATTGTGACTTCGAAAAGCTCGGATTATTCATCAATCTGTACATGTGCCTATTTCACACAATACAAAGTATTGATCCAAATACCCAAACAACGGTTTACTATATAAGTCTATATGATTAATTGTACTTTCAATCAAAGATCGTAAATAATTTACAAATATTAAATTATTTTTGAATAAGTCCTTTTTTAAGGCTCGAAAAAAGGGGACGTAAATAAACAATATTGATATAGATGGAGCAATAGCTTATATAATGTTAAGCCTCGAAATTCTTTATCGATCCTTGAAGCTCGATGAAATTTGCATGGCCAACATAGAGCTAAAATTTTCGACTCGGGTTGCGCCATAGTTATATTAATGCGAGCGATACAACTTTTAGGTTGTATTAGTTGTACGACGATATTTAACTGACGTTTTTTGTACTGATTATTTATAACAATATACCTTGGTATATATTGATCAAGTAGGAGGTCATGTAATTTTTTATTATCTACAATGAAGTCTGCTGACTCGAATTCCTCGCGGGTCACTGTTTCTAAACCTTAATTAAGTAATCATTGTGCGCGGTGATTCATTCGCAGATTCGATATTGAACTGTCGAATTGATATCGAATCACAGCTAATTTCCGCACAGAAAATAGCGAACACTGATACTTTTTCCCATGCCTATGCGAAAAAATCAACCGACCAAATCACCGGATGGTAGAGACGTACATGTACAAATCGTTACATTACAATATAATAAGAGATATAATAATGGTAATATATATAAAACCAGATAAAATTGTAAAGTGAATTCTATCAAAATAGATTTAAAGGAAAAGGTGACAACAAAAATTATTCATGGTTCCGTATAATATTATACTATATAGGTACACATCCAATTTTTTGTAATACCAGAATCGGGCGTTCATGTTGTTCGTCGCCACCCACCTCGATAGTTTCCTCCTCCGCCCGGCCCCGGTCGTGACGACGAGTAATTCTATATAAGATCAAATGAACGATATATCTGCATTAGACTCATTTCATATACGAAGATGTTCTACTAATCAAGAACAACGACAAAAATAACAACAGGGCTTAGTTAAGGCATAGTTAAGATAACCATGCGTTTCATGTGTTTCTAACGAGAGAGACAGATGAAAAACAGATGTTCGATTTTGCGTTAAATGTTAGATCTTGAATGATTCAGAATGCACGTACCATTCCGCGTTGACTGTTGTAGCTTTGCTGGGCGTTCTGGTAACTCGACATGTTCCGCGCGGATTGCAACTGGTGATTGTTGTAATGATTACGGGACTGTTGATACTCATAGGGCCGCGGTGGATAGTTCCTCGAACCGTAACCGGATGCCCATGGTCCGCACATTTGACTCGAACCGGCACTATCTTCGTAACCGTAGCCCGATTGGTAGCCGCTCTGATAACCTGCAAATACAAAATACGCACGATAGTATTAACAGGATAGGAAAGCAACGTGTATCTTGTATATAAAAAAGAATCGCCAAATAGGGATAACACATAGAATAAGAATAATATTTACGGACACTTTTTGCACGATATCGGTTCTTAAAAACGACGATGATCAAATGCTCGCGGTGATCGTCGCATATACGAACGGCATTTCTAAAGTTCGCGCCGGATTGTCTCAAATACGCGCTCAAAATGCATCTTAAACAAACTCCGACAGACAATAAAGAAATCGGCCATTCGGGATGGCTTAACCCTTTAATAAATATTGCCACGAGTAGTCGGTCGCACTGAATGCGTAGTTATTCCCGATAATTAACACACGCGAGGCCGGGATGAGGGAGGGACAGGGGGACGGACGGGCGCAATATAGCCGCCTAGATGAATGGAAGCGTGGCGACGCGTGTCCCGCGTTCTCAAATAATATGCAGCGTGCGTAGGACCCGGCAACGTCATTGGGATAAGCAGACGCCGCGTGTTTGTTTGCATCGTGAAACGTCATAATAGCGCTACCGAGCCTGTCGTTAATAAGGGATTTTCGAAAGTGCGCTTCGCCAGCGGGAACGCGGAGCCTCATAGATGTGATCTCGCGGTGAAAGGACGCGATACAACATTCGCCCGGGTATGCAAAAGAGGAGAGCACGCGACTGTTTCCGAGCATTGTTTGGCTTTAACAGTTTAAGTTGTAGTGAATGTCACCAGACGGTCACTGGTTATCGACACAACACAGCTGAATTGAGATATGTTACTTTAATTATTTCAATACTCAGGATAGGGAAAGGAGAAATTAAATATGTATGAAAAATAATTGGGACTTGCACAGTATAATTTTATGTTAAATTCAACACATTTCGCATGTCCCAAACGGTTCACATAAAATTATGTGTTAACATAAGGTAAATGTTGAAAAGTGGCACAAAAATTATGCCAGAAATCAGCACGAAATTAATATAATAACGTTAATTGACGCTGAAATATAAAATGTGTTTTTAAATTTCAAAATTATAACACTTACATATATTGAATATCGAAAATTCGAATCGAGGAGAAATATGCACGATGTGCGACGGAATCGGCGCGACGTAACCGCAGAGAGAGGCTAAGATTCCTTGAGTAACGAGAGGAAAACGCGGGAAAAGAGGAAACGCGGAGACAGTGAGGCTCGCGTTATTTCGCGCTCGACGTTGCGCACAACCCCCTTGCACCTCCTTCTGCCGCTCTCGATGGTTCGCGAACGTAGCGTTCTCCTCGAAACATCGAATTCTCCCTCCCCCCTCCCCCCTTCTTCTCTCGCTCGCACGCGCGTTCCTCTTTTCGGTCGTCGCGGAGGAAAAAAATTGAAAGAGAGATATAATGATCGTGCTGACAAAAGGACAAAACGGCCGTGCGCACCCCGCGACGTCGCGACCCCGTGACTCCCCGTTTGAATATTTATAGCCTGGCTTTCGAATTGCGAGATGGTTGATGCTACATGGGAGCCAAGGGGGAATCCGGAATAAGAGAAGGCACGGGCGTGTGCGAGCGCGCGGGGGTGGTTTGTTTGATGTGTCGCGCGTTGCGGGTGGAAATCAATTTTAATTGAATTGATTGCGCACGCGGCGCGTATGACGAGTCGAACTCGTCGTGCGAATTCGCATAAACTATACCGCGAGACAATATCGCGGGACTGATGATAATACTTCGTGTTATTGCGCGCGTGCTTCAGTCGCCGGCGAAAAGTCACCTTCGCGAAATATTTCGAGGATTTTCATCGTTCATTAGATCTCATTATATTAAGCGATATTAATCGAGTTTTACGAGTCTGGCAATTTAATAAAGTAATGCTTTCCGGCTGAGGCAATATTTCCTGCAACGTCACAAATTTAATCCGTCGCGGGAAGATATAAATGTTTAGCGTGTAGTGGCGCACACGACGAATTAATCTTCGGGCAAACGCACGCGATGGATCTACTTTCTACGCTAAATGGATCCTCGATTCTAAAACTCTAAATAGCTCGAAATAAAAATCGAAATNTTTATTCATTAGTTGGGGGGGGGGGAGGTAGAGGATTATAAGAAGATTATAATATTAGAGTTCTGAGACTCGTTTAACGTGTGGATTCATCGCGTACGTTTGTTCGGAGATTAATCCGGTATATGCGTCATTATACGCATAAATATATCCTACCGCAATAACTAAAATAACATATCGTTACAACATCCACGATAAGGTTTATTGGTCGGTCTATCTTTCCTTTGGTAAATGACTAGGAGAATCGTTATAAATATCACCAGATCGATTCAACGCTGATTAACCAACAGTTGAGCGTGGCAAGAGCCGCGAAGAGAATCGTGCGTTTCTGTACGTATTCGGCGACGACGCGGGCCGCGATTCGCAAAGTGGCGCAACTCCTTAACCCTTCGGGATCCATCGGCCGTGCGTACAAAGGCTATCACTGACGCACGATAATCGTATAGTTTGGTTCAATCGAGCTCGTAATGGGAGGCGGCAAACACCACGTCGATATCATCGAGGGTCGAAGGGTTGATCTCTCGCGCGCGCGCGCGTCCGTCCGAACACCAGTTATAGACTTCCAACGTGTCTATGCGTGTGCCCCTTTTTCCCCCCTCGAAAACCCAGAGCCTTTCCTCTCGTTCCTTGTGCGGCAACAATAACATCCCCCGTAGACTCCGGGCGGCCCGCGTTGTCCAACCCCCATGGTAATCCTCACCCTCGGCTCCGGATAGAAGAAAAGAAAGAGGGTTTAACAGTTTACACGTCGGATCATCCCTCGTTATTGTTGCGTTTATGATAATAACGCGCCGCTGCAGTCGGCTGGCGCGCGCGTTACTCGTCTTGCACACGCTGTAGCTTATCACTGAGAAAAGCGTTCGGAATATAACTGCATTACTCATATTTCTATTCTGTTCTAACAAAGCAGCAGTGGCAGCAGTAACAAATAAACGTTATTACATCGTTAACAATGTGGTAGCACTTACGAAAAAAAATGGCTCTCCTGATTGCAATTATTTCACTAGACGATTACAGTCACGAATACCAAATACTTTCTCCTCAATGTAATTTGTAGCGAAATTAACATCGCTTTCTTCCCATGCACGTGTGCCGTATCGATCAGAGGTCGGGTTTCGAGAGGAATGCAAGTGAGCCGGCCGTGGGCAACGTCAGGTGTTACGAATGTCAAAGCAGTGTTACGAGTGTCAAAGTCTTACCTCGACGGACGCGTCTGAAATGAATCGCCGATAACACGCACGAGTGGCGGACGAATCATTAACAATAGTGAAAAAGGGACGCACGTCCGGTTACGAGATGGAACTTCCGACGGTATGAGCGAGAAGCGAAATTGTATCGAAAAGCGGACAGAAAAGCGGGCAGGATCGTTGAAAGAAGGACAAGGAGAGCGATTCCCATTCGTATATATGCCTCTGTGTGTGTGTGTGTGTGTGTGTGTGTACGTGAGCGTGCGCTACGTAGAGGTACCTCTACTCGCCATGGGTATTGGATTGGATTGGATTGCCGCGTCAGCAATACAAACACTCGAAACCTCGATGTGGGTCGGCTTCTCCCGTTCCTGTTTCAAACTGAAATTTCCCGTCCGCGCGTTCGATCCGCACCCGCCGCACACCGTATCCGAAGATATAGCGCTCCGTCCCCAGGAAGGGGGATTCATCGCACCTATCGTCTTTATCGAGCTTATAAATGACGGGATCAGCCGCGACGTATCCATTATCCCTCGCTACATCTAACGACGATGCCTCTCGCACGCTGCATTTACGCAGTTCCAGTCGCAATCCGACGTCGTGTTCGCGTGAATTCGTCGCGTGCGGAGGGACTAACGTTGATCGTCATGGAGATCACAGGTGACCGGCGCTATGATATTGCCGCGTCTCTCTGATTTATGTTGAAACTATAATTTTCTAATTGCACATAACGAAGTTAAATAAAGCCAATAGGGTCCAATGAAACTAGCCGGTACTTATTTCATAAATTGCATTTAGTTAGCCGGTTAGTTCGCTTTCTGAAGCGCCACGGGGAAAAAAAAAGAAAAAAAAATTCATTTGAGCACACGGTCGAGTGGATGACGGTCATATTTAAAACAGATCCCGCGCGTTCTTTCTCGAAATTCGCGAATATCGATTTCCCGTGGTCATCGACGTCCGCGTGGTCAACTCTGACCTCCACGTTTTTTCTCCTCCTCTCTCTGCCCCTCTGTCTTTTTTTTTTCTTAAGAAATCGTCATCCTTTTATCTTATGTAAACGTTATTCCTGTCAAGCAGTTCCTCCACAGTCTTTATATGCTTAGGTGGGTGTAGGTAAACATTGTACAGCACGTGTAAGTAAAAGGTAAGCTAAATAAGCGTCTTCCCCCTTTCTCTCCCTGCCTTGTCCTCCTTTCATGACGAGTTACGCGGCCATAGGAGCGCGTGCACGCAGCATCCTCCGTCGGGGACGCAGTGGAGACGATGAATCGATCGGAATTCCGAGTTCGCTGCGATTATCGCGTGGAGAAAAATCCCCCGACATCCCCAGCTCTCACGACGAGATAATTCTTTCCTCGCGCGGAAAATGCGCGACGGGAGAACCGAAACGGCGAGCATTCAATTAGCGTTCACCGCGTTATCGTTCGCGAATGTTCGAGATACGCGAGCACGCTAATTATTCCGCCGGTTTCGGGCCTTCTTGCTCGGTGCTCAACGATCGGGCGCGATAAAGCGTGCGCGCTACGTCGAAGGAAAGTAAAAGGGTTGCAAGGAGATGAAGCTAGAAACGCGGGGTGATCGACGAAAGCGGAGAGGCTGGAAGAGAGGAGGGCTGGGAAAAAGCGCGCCCTCGTAAACTCTACCTGGCTGCGAGAACAATGCGTACACCCCGATGCGTTCACCCCCGTAAAACCCGCCGACCGGTACAAGATGGCGCCACCGGGTCAAAGTACCACTCGGGCGATTTCTGGCGGCTTTGT